TATCTTAAATATTAATTAGTATGACAAACTACTTTAATAGAAATATTTTAGAGTGAATAGCTAGGATTCATTAGTACAATATTGTTAATGTGATTGACATTGTGGGTTTGGGTTTTACATGTCCTTTTAAGAGAAAGAACTACAGACATCACAAAATCTGATTGACATTGAATTTCAATATTTGAAGATTGGGTTTTATACACAAAGATCCTTTCTTTTTTTTTTTGTTTAAATTAACACTTGAATTAAACAAGAAAACAAATTTAAGTAAATAATTCACTCAAAATTCTTAAAAGCTAGGCAGAGATAAATTTATGCCTATCATCATCTTGAATCCCAAACGATATCTGCCGAGTCATCTTTGGATCTCTCAGGGATAATTGGCAGAACAATGAACAGCAGAAGAGGAAGAAGAGAGGGATTTTTCTTGAAAATCTTTTCGAATTCCCCATAATACTTCACCACATTCTTTCATGGAGGGTCTTGACGGTCTTAGAGGTGCAAGGCACTGTTGAGCTAGCAACAGGATTTTCTCCAATACCATGGTTGACGCCGGATTTCTCCGTAGCCTTGGATCCATGACAAGTATCGCATCTCCTCGTTTCAACATTTGGATTGCCTGCAGATGTAAACAACAATTCATTTGTGCTCCGATAATCTATAGGGATCGGAAACTTTCTTCACCAGTCTCATGAATTTGAAGCTAAAGGCACATGCATTTTCAATCATTACTAGAATTATACAACTACTAGTTGTAATTCGAATGATCAAATTCTTCTGTCTCTAATTTTGGAATTTGCTTTGTCGGTTATCTGATATGTGTTAACATGGTTAGGCTGATGTTTGGTTCGTACCACTTCTAATGCCTAATCTTTGTCTATAACACATGGGAACAGGACGTCGAAGAGGAGGATGAACTGAGCCACCGCACCTGTAGCGGTTTCATTTGATGAGTGTTTCATGTGCAAATGCAACACAGGAACATGGTGGATGTTACTAGAGCATGAATGACAAAATGTCTAAAGTTCAACAGAAACATGTGATGAATGTCGGAAGTCAAAGAAATCGGGGAGATTAACAGTAAAACAAGACTTTAGCGATGGCTAAATCATGTAAGGTGGAAATATGGGAAGATTTTACCGCAAAGCAACATACAGAAACAGACATCAATCCCAACAAATTTCCAGCTTCATGTTGGTTTAGTAATGTAAAGAATGCTTAATCAGTTATACTCTTACCCATCTTGCTGTTATTCTTTCATTGCTTGGCTTCTGTGGTTCGATGGGTCGTCTTCCTGTCATAAGTTCTACAAGCAGGACACCAAAGGAGTAAACATCACTCTTTTCAGTGAGTTGATATGTCTTGAGGTACTCGGGGTCCAAGTATCCTGCAGTTCCTTTTATTTGAGTTGAAATATGAGTTGCGTTTGGGTCTGCAGATGCTCGTGCAAACCCAAAGTCCGCCACTTTAGCCCGAAGTTTCTCAGTGATGAGGATGTTTAAAGATTTTATGTCTCTGTGGATTATCGGAGGATCTGTCAAATACATGAGATGTTTTATGTTGTCAAATTCCCAAGTCTAATCAAACTAATTGGGAAGCAAAATGAAAAAATCTTTATCGGTCTAGTACTCTGGATCGAAAATGATATACATACCTGTATACATGTGAAGATAGGTGATTGCATGAGCCACATCAATAGCAATGTCCAAACGTTCCCCAGTTTCAAGTTCATTTCCAATGATACCTTCATGAAAAGATGACTATTTTTATAAAGAACATTTCTGTATCGAAGTACTATGTTATTTCTTATCTAACTCTTTTTGTTATTTGAAATTTTGAAGTAACATTTCCAGTTTCTCAGCGGAACTTACATATTCCACCCGATGAACTTATGTCTAACAGATACTCGGGTAAGTTCATACACAAAATCTATCAGACTGCCCACTTAATTTCCAAATATTGAAGCTTTGAACCTACAATCTCAGTTGCATATATCAACAGTCTTAAAGTCCTTCTTTTTCTTTCCTGTTAACCAATTTGCTCCTACCAAAACTTTTTGTTCGTACTATTTTCTGGATATTTATACGAATCTATTTCATCACCAAAATATCATATTCCCCAAAACCCAGAATTCGAAAAACCCAATTGAAACAAGAAAGATACATAATTTGAAAACCCCAATTGAACAAAATCGAGAGAAGAACAAGTTTAGAGGAGGAGGATACAGTTCGGGGTCTTTTCGCCGGAGATCGTCGAACATCTGCTTGTAAGGTGTGCCAAAGTCGTAAACATTGGGTTCTCTGAGGGAGGGACCAGGGAGCTTGACGTGGGCTCCGGTGCCGTACGACGCGACGTCGAAGCCCTGCCGCTTGAGGAGCGAGTGAGCCTCCATGCTCCGATTCTGGTTCGACGAACACACCATGCTCCATACCCTCATCCCTTTGCTCTTCCCACCCCTCTTTCCCTAATCTCCCCATCCCTAATTTGAAAAATCCAAACAAATAAATGAGAAGCTTACCTGGAGAAACCTGGAGAACGAGAGAACGAGTTCGCTAGTTTTTGGAACGAGAGAACGAGAGAGAGCCTGAGGTTCGGGTTATGCGAGAGAGCTCTGAGGTGAAGAGCGTGCGAGAGAGTTCTGGAAAGGTGAGAGCGTAGGTGAAGGGAAAGGGAGGGCAGTTTTGGGTTATTCATATTTCATTAAATGTGTACACTGTTCATCCGTGTGTGGGTGAAAATAAGCTGCTTTTGGAAGCTGCAGATTGCAGCTTCTTGTCATCTCCTGGTTTTGGGCTTTTTTTCACCTTCAACTTTGAAACAAAGCTGCTTTTCAAAGTTTACCAAACACCAAAAATTTTCATAACTTTTTTTCATAGTAGCTTTTTTTTTAAGCACCTCAATCCCAAACAGGCCCTTCTACTCACTCATAACTCTATGTGCCAACTAGTGATAGCCCTAGTACCTTATGGAACGTTAGTCTTTGGTGAGCAGGGATATCTCCTTATACGGGCAACACCTTCAAGCAATCCCTGCTATCAAGGGATTTGATAATGCCCGCATATTTCTGAATACCAAGTAGTTGGATCACCCACTACTCTAGCACGTATGACCTTATGTCCTACTTTAAAGGATCTAAGTTCTTCTTGTTGAACTTGACTCTTAATTAATTTAACTTTATCACTATCTAAACCATATCATAAAATGTGAGAGTCCAAATAAAGAGTCCAAAATTTCAAGCTTCTAGTTCACAATCCTCAATGGCTTCTCATCCATCGGTTTCATTTTCAAAAGGTCCAAGGTCTTCACAAGTATTGTCACCTCAAGCTCCAATGCCTTCTCAAGTCCGTTAACAAGCTCAAGATCTCTTAAACCTTCGTAAAGTAAGTGTCCAAAAAGAAAGGGAAAGGAAAAGGGTAGGACGATTGTTAGTAGTGACTTGAATTAATGTCATAAGGCATTTTGACATACAATTTTGTTTGAACTTTAATTTTAGTATGATTAACTTTTTCAATTGGGGTTGTACTAATGCCACAAGACATTTTGATGTTCAACTTTGTTTCAAGTTGAATTTGAGGTGGGGGGGGTGTATTCAATTGGAATTTTGAGGGATTTTAATAGATTTATAAATAATAGATTTTGTAGTTTAATTGATTTCTGGAGATTCTATATAAAATTTTGAGTACATTCCTCAAATTCTTAGGGGAGAGGCGAGATTTGAAAATGCTTAAAATTCACTATAAAATCTCTATAATTCCCCCGAATTCCCCAACTTTTCAAAATCCTTTAAAATCAGTTTCTAATTGAATATACCTTAAATGTTATAAAATCCTTTAAAACTTGATTAAAAACACCTAGACTTTCAGAAATAACTTAAAATCCTAATTGAATAGCTCTTCATTTGTAAAACGAATTAAAATCTCTCAAAATTCTAATTGAATGTGATCATGATTTTTTTTTTCTAGTTGAGTTGTATTAAAGCAAACATTTAGTTTGCAAATAACTAGGTTTTGAAGTTTTACGTTTGTTTGAATGTTGAACATTTATATAATGCCAATTTTTTAATGGGCCTACAAATTGGACCCAAACCAAAATCGAAATCTAATGGTTTGATTTGAGGGTAGTATTGGTACGATTACCATACTAAAATCCATGTACCAATTTCCATACCAAAGTTTTGATATGACAAAATCTATTACCATTACCGTGCCAAACTTTCGATATATCGAATTTTGGCATGGTATGGTAATAGTAATTACTACTTTGTTTTAGGCCATTCTTTTGGGCCAAAATTTGAATTTTTTTTTCCAACCCAATGCAAGGTCCAAACGTGTTTTGGCCACTCCCTTTGGGTTTCTAAAACCTTTTTATTTAATTATGAGAATTTTATAGAGATTCATTAAAGAAACAAGAAGTAAATAGATGAAAGAATTGCTAAAAAAACCCAATATCCCTAAAAAAAATAGCACAAAGATTCCTAAATTCCATCTATGCATTCTTTAAAATTGTACAAAAATTAACTTGATAGATGAAGCCAGGGAGAAAGACATCCCAATTTGATGAAGGAGAAGATGAGATGGACTCCGGAGAGAAAGAGTCGCCAGAACTGGAGCAACAGAGATGAAGTCGGTGGCTAGATTAGTGAAAAGATGAAAAGTTGCAGCGTAAGAAGACTTAGATTTTTTTATTAGAAAAAAAGAGGTTAGAAGGTAAGATGATTGGATACATGACTACGAAAAAAAAAATGCATATATAATGATAATAATACCTAATTATATATAAATGAATAAATAAATAATATAATATTAATAGTAGTGGTACGGTATGGTATACCACTGGTAATGATTTTGAATACCATTACTATACAAAAAAAATGTACAATACGGTACAAATACCATACAATTACTAATGGTACAAATTTTTTGACACAACTTTAATATAGTACAGTTAGTAATTCGATTGGTATGGTAATTTAACAAAAAATCCCACCCTTAGTTTGATTCCATTTTGGTTCGCATTGCAAAACCAAACCGAAATAAATCGAGCCGTTCTCACCCTTGCTAGAATCATAATTTGATGTAATTTTTTAATGATTTAAAAACGCAAGCAGTGATGTAATTTTTTTGAATTCTTGCCGCCCGGGTGGCGCAAACCACTAAATCGGCGCGGAGAGCAACGACAAAGTGGAGCTTCGTGGCTTTCCTGTCGAGTAAATTGTCGCCGAAGTCATATGCTTCTTTCCTCTTCTTACTTTTCGATCTCGTGAGATCGATACGACCTTCGCCTGAGGTAAACAACTCTACGATTTAACTACGATTCAAATCGGTTCATTTTTCTAGGGTTTTGATTTTTTGGGAAATTTATCAATTCAATTTCGTTTCTGCGTTGTGGATTTAGGGTCTTCTAGTGTTGTTGCGTGTCAATTGTTCCCATATGGAAGAAATCCCCTTCGTATTTACCTTTGACCTAATTTTCACAAGCTGAGTAGCGATTTATGTATCCCCTGTTATCTTTATTTTTCGTATTCAATTTATAGGTGTGGAATTTAGATTGATACATGTTTGCTTTGATTTTGGTTGGCTCAGTTCTTGGTCGACTCGATTATTTTCATGCCTACGTTCATGGTTTGCCTTAATTCATGATAGCTTAGTGCTATTTGTTGCTCAGTTATCCTGATACCTGGATTTAGGGTTGTCTTGCTTGGGTGATTTTGATACCTTGATTCATTGTTGCTGCGGTCTATTTTTGTTGAAGTTCTAGTTGCCTCAATTATCTTGATGTCTCGATCCATGGTTGCCTCGGTTATATAAATACCTCGATTACTGGTTGCCTGAGTTTATTGTTCGTTGAATACATTGTTGCCTCATCATGGTTGCCTCAGTTGTATTGGTGCCTCGTCATGGTTGGTTCAGTTAATGGTTGCCTCAGTTTATTCTTGAAAAAAATATTGTTGTCTTGATTAATGGTAGCCACAGTTGACTTCTCGATTAATGGGTGCCTCAGTTTATTGTGGGCTTAAGACATTGTTTCCTTGGTTTATTGCTGCCTCAGTTTCTTTGGTGTGTTGTTACCTTAGCTTATGGTTGCCTCACGGTTATCTTGATGCCCTAATTTATGGTTGCCTCAGTTATCTTGTTGCCCTAAGTCATGGTTGCTTTGGTTGTTTGGATGACCTGACTATTGTTGTCATAATTATTTTGACACATTGTTGCCCATATTCAACTCAGTATATTTTTCTCACAGCTGATGGTTGTCTATGATGTTTGATGCCAATTCTTGGTTGTCATGAACTCTCAGTTTGTACTGATGTAGGACGTATCGATTCATGGTTGCCTCAGTATATTGTTGTCACCACTTATACTTCCTTTGATTATCTTCATCTCTCAGTTCACTGTTTTTATTATGCATTCAATAATAGTTTCCCTCAGTTTATTCCGGGCTGGCCTCAGTTTTTTTCTCGTATATTGTTGCCTTAGATAGTCTCCTAAGTTATCTCAATGCCTTAGCTCATGAATGCCTAGTTATCTTGATTTCTTCATTCATGGGTGCTTCGATAATTTTGATGCCTTAATTCATGGTTGCCTCGTGTTTTTTGCTGCCTCAATTTATGGATGCCTCTGTTTTTGTTGCCTTATTTCATGGTTTTCTTGGTATGCTGTATCAACTCATAATTGTCTCAGTTATCTTGATGCATGGTTTCATGGTTCCATCGGTTGTATTGATTTATCGGTTAATTGCTTAGATTCATGTGTGCTACAATTGTTTTGATGCCTTGATTAGTGGTTGCGTTGGTTGATCATTAGTTTCAATCCACTGTTGTGTTCTGATGCCTTGATAATCACTTACTGGGAATATTTACAGTACGGGGAAGAAATTCAACCTAGGCCCTACTATTGTATTGGGATCTTGCAAAAAAGAGAGAAGATACTAGCATCGGTGATTGTTGCCTTCATTCATGACAGATCTTAATGCCTTAATTCATGGCTGCCTTGGTTAATGATGGTTTCGTTGATTATTGAGGCATTTATTTACTCTATTTTCATTTCTTATGATTCTATTCATGGTTGCCCCTGTTTTTGTTGCCTCTATTCATGGTTTCTTTGACTGTTTTGATTTCTTGGTTCATGGTTGCTTTAGTTTTGTCACTTGAAATCATGCTACCACAAAATATTTTGGCTTCGTGTGATGGCTTTCTCTCTTTATTACCTCGATGCATTGGTTCATTATAGTATTGGATTCAGTTATTTTAATTCAGGGATGCCTCGATATCTTGTTGCCTAATTCCTAATGACAAGTTCCTGTAACGTTTCTTGATTGTTTATATATGAAAGTACAAGTAAAAAGATGATTAGGTCACCAAACTTGTGAAACCCAATCTCTGCTTAGAAAACCTGCATGTGGTGTGCATCTTGAATAAAAAGATACAGAATTAGGCAAATTTTATAAAAATAAAAGAAAAGAAAAGAAAGAAATTTGGTGATTGTTATCCCGAAAGTATAGACTGTTTGTTGTATGGGTTTTGAACTTGCAACTTCTTCTCCTTGGTTTATTAGGATAGTTTACTCCCAATGAGTTCCTAACAATCTTATTTTATGTGGAAATTATAGTATGATCCGGATTTAGCATAAGTTATTCTTTGAAATGATCTCAATAGAATGCAGGAACTTTTTTTTTTTTTTTTTCACTTTCCAGTTAAAAATGCAGGAACTTTTACTGGAATGTCATTACCATAAAATCTGAGTTTCTATGGCAACAAGAAGGGAGCTTATAAGTTGCCTGCCTCTTTCTATTTATTAATTTTTCAACATTTCTACTCTTTGCAGAAAGGAACCGAAGAAAACTCACAGCTGCTATGAAATATATCCTGAAACTTTGCAAGGTTGGTAAATATGCCTCGTTCTCTGACCTCCTCTGTGTCCTTGTAATTTTTGAAGTGTTTTCTTTCATGGTATTTATCTGATGCTCCATTTAAAACTTTAGGTTTTTGTTTGTGTTAGTGATCCTTTTAGTTTTTGACCTTGCTCTTCTTTTAATTGGTCCTAGCCAGCTGATTAAATCCACGAATGTTTTTATTTCATTTGTGTTGGTGAGATTTATTAATTAAATGGACTGCCTTTTATCTTTCCTTAGCCCTTAGTTAACTTAGCCATTTGCATTATTGGGTACTAGTTTGTTTAAAAGTATTCTAGTTTAAGTGTGGGTGTGCGCTTCCAGGACTTTTCTGATATGTTTCTGTCATGTTTTATTTCATTGTAACATCATATCATGCACGTCGAAAATACGATAAGCTTCCCATAAGTTCATGAGATTGGGTAAATTATTTCATACAAACTCTGAGAAATGAGGATGGCCATATATCCTTGTCTGGCTGTCTGAATTTTATGATTTTATCTGACGTAAAATTGGTAGTATAGTTGTGATTTGGTCATCTAATTTATTTTCATGATGACCCATGTGTAGGATTTTCTAAACATATATAAAGAGATAAAAAATGTGATGTTATCCTTTATAAAAGTACGATAGGCGAGCAAATGATCCCACATACTGGTCTGAGTTTACATGCCCCATGTTTGGTGAGCAGGACACAAGTCTAAAACAAACAGGAGGGATTCAGAGACCCATGCTGCGATGGGTTTTGAGCGAGCCTCTTCTCTATTCTGTGCCTCGCTTTTCCTTCTCTTCTGTCCATGGTTTCGAGCCCGCCTCTGCGTCTGATGCTGAGTTTGGGTTTGGCTTAGCAAGGTATCTTCCTTTTCTCTATTTTATCATTCCTTCAAAAACTGCCCACCTATTTTCCGACTTATAGTTTTATCTGAGTTCATTTCGACTTAAGTTTTTATCGGTTTCCATGTTTGCTCCAAATTTTGAACTAGTTTGGTTTTCGTTTCTCTGAATCTGACTCTTTGGTCGATGTGCGTTGATCAGACCTACGTCCTAATATTTCAATCTGTTCTTGTGAGTTTTGAGTTCGGTTTCTGATTGATGGTAGGCTACTAATCTCATCTGTTATCTGCTGCCTTAGACAGGATTCCTTTTACCTCTATTGGGTCGGTTTATTGAAAATGTATTCGCTTTCATGAAATGTGAAAATCAAGTACAGAAGTAATCAGTGGTAATTGCAAATGAATTACCAAGTAATTAATTGCATCAAATATCTCTCTGTCTCTCTCTCTCTCTCTCTCTCTACTCTTATTTATCTAGCTACATATATATGCCTATAAGGCTGTAACCTAGACCACACGTGTCCATATCAAGTATTATGTGTGATTCTCTGCAATTCATTCATCACATCCATGCAAATCCACACAATCCCTTCACAGCCAAGAAATAAAATCCAGAATTCCACTCTGATCGTCACACGTGTACACGGTGATTATCACCATCATGCTACACTAATTCCTTCTCACCCCTCTTAACCAAAATCTCCCACAGCCGTTGGATCTCCCCGAACACATCGTCAGTGGGAAGCGTAAATCGGCAGCACGGACAAGTGTTCCTCTTCCTCAGCCACCGCAAAATACACATCCAGTGAAACAAATGCCGGCACGGCAGCTCACACACGTCTCTGTCCTCTCTCATCTCCTCTTTACATATCATGCACTCGCTCCCGCTGCTGCTTACCTTCACCGACGGCAGCGCCACCACCGCTGCTGGTGATGCCGCTACTTCTCTCCCCGCCTTCCCGCTATAGCAAAAGCCCATAACGCTGACAAATCTCAAGCACCTCGTCAGCACCTCAATATAAGAAACCAAAGCCGACCCGTTGTAGACTCCCATGCCGGAAACTGTTAGCATGGTGTCGGAGTACAAATTGGTTAAAATTTCGCGCCATTTTATAGTTGGTGCTTGGAGGGCTTCCGGGTTGTGCTGGTGTACTTCGCAGAGTAAGAGGAGGAGCAGAACGGAGTCGAGGTCTCTTTTTCTGACAACACGTGGCGGTGGTGGATTGTTGTAGGGGTGGAAGTGGAGTGTGAGGTGGTAGAGGGAGGAGAGGAGGTGGTTGGCGATGAGGACAGTCTTGTGGGGGAGGGGGAGGGAGTTGAGGCGGTGGAGGGTGAGAGAGAAGAGGATGGGGGAGGAGAGGAGGGAGGAGAGACGGTGGTGATGGTGTTGGGTGTGGGAGAGGATGGTGTGGGTGAGATCTGAGAGTTGGGGTGGGGTGAGGGTGGCCAGAGCAGCCATGATGGTTGCTGTTGTTGTTTCTTCCATTATGGGATCGTGTGCTTTGCGGACTTTTGCTTTTAATCTTTTTATAGAGCGGGGAAAAAATGATTTTGAGGATTGTTGTGGCTTTTTATGTGAATTTTTGCTTGGACTAATTTACCCATACTGGTCTCTTGTAATGACTATTGTACCCCTTTGATATTTGCTCCACTCTTGTTCTAAGTACTTGTTTGGTACTGAGGTGCTTTTATAAAAAGTGGGTATAAAAAAAAGTTGAGCTTAAAAAGGTGTTTGGTAAACACTTAAAAACAACTTATTTTCACGGTTTTGGATGAAAAGAAGCTAAAAATGTGAAGCAGTAAAAATAAGCTTATTCTCATAGCACAGCAGAAACAGTTTTTTTCCAAAGCACAGTAATACCAAACCAGCCTTAAATACTACAAAAAAGTGATTTTCACGTACATTTTTCTCCTCATGCGCTTCTTGCATTTGATTGAATAATCAAAGAAAAATGAATAGACAAAATCAAACAGAGGTATGGAGAAGAAGAAAGAGTGTCATAGTTATTTTCCGTGCTATATTAGTGGCCATGATATTTGTAATGGGTTCAAATCTTACAATAATCATCTCATTACAATCACAAAATCACGTTTATGTGAAACTATGGTCATTACATTCACATATATTTGAAATCTTAAATCAGCATTAGTTTTGTTAGTGTCAAGTCATAACAACTTGTTTTTGCATTAATGATTTTTCTTTACAGGTAAAGAAGATATCGAGAGTCGAACTCTGAATTTTATCCTGATCTGGACAAAACGAATGCGAGAATCAAACTCTTAACTTTATACTGATGTCAACCAAGAGAAGATCGAGAGGCGAGCACTTAATCTAATCACATCTTTGATGTGAATCCATCCTTCCACAACTGATATCAACCAAGAAAAGAGCGAGAAACGAGCTCTTAACTTGGTCGCATCTTTGATGTAAATCTCCCCTTCCACAATATCCAATGACAACAAATGCAATGTGAACGTGCATTTGGGGGTGTAAGGTAATGATGAATTGAATGAGGTCAGTGGGTATGTAGGTTTGTTTGTCCACAAGTTGTGTGTCCAGTTCAAACCCATTTGTCCTTCCTATATAATTATATCTATAACTTTAGTATAATCTTTAATTATTTTAAGAAAAACAAGTAGAAGAGGAAAAAAACCAATTGGCCCATGCATGGCTCGTTCTCCTTGTCCCCCTGCACTCTTAATAATGCAAATGTGACGACGATGCTAATATATCGTTTCGCTTAACAAGGATCTTGTCGCCTTTTACATTTACATCTACCGCCTGCACCTCCGGTTAATTTTCATTTGGAACTTGAGTAAATTGTGAGACTGGATCTGATAAAGAGAAATGCTAAGAAGATTCTTTCAAAAGTGAGATTTTCGATGAAGTTTTTGATATTTTATATTTTTGTACAATGTTTTATAATGTTTGCACTGGAATTGTGCCAAAAACATGAAGTTGCGGACAATCTACTTTTAAGAGAGTCTCCTTAGCATTTATCTCTGGTAAAATAGCCTAATAACCATTCAGTCCCTTGGTTTTGACTTCTCCTTTTGGTATTTGGGGTTGAGATTATGAGCTTGTTTGCAGTGCTTTTAAAAATGATGAAAACGTTGTTGGTGAAAATATTATTGGAACCAATCTTTAGTAAAAGTGCAAGTGAATCATTAAAAAAAAAAAACACTTGAAGTGCTTCTTGCAAGAAATACATAACTGGTGCTTGTTATAGACATTTCAAGTGCTTTTGGAATTCAAAAATATTTTCTCTAAAACGCTTTCAATTATTTTAAAAATATTTAAATTTAGGTGATGTGCCCTAAAACACTTGGATTTTTAATAAAAATATTTTTGGTAAAAACGCTTTTAAGCACATGTGTCGTGCATAAGTAATCCCGAATGAGTACTCTGTGACAATTAATAATGTGTTAGTGCAATAACACTTTGATGTAATGATGGTAGGATTAATGAGTTTTTTTATTTTATTTTCTTCTTCTTCTTCTCTCATAGGAGTTTTAAAAGTTTCTTTTTCCAACTAATGTATATTCAATTAACACACTATCCGTCGGTAAGAAAATTGTTATTTGTCACGTGATGTCATCGGTTGCAAGACAAAATCTCACCAATCCATTGGTTGAGGTATTATTCCACAAGGGGTATCCTGATCAGTGATCACCACACAATCAAACCGAGTGAGCGTAAAAAACCCTTTAGAGGAGACACAATGATAATCTTTGTGGCAACCAAACCATGATCAAGATACAGGGCCGCGGAGGTGCCGGAAAAAAATTATAATTCCATTGGATTCTGAAACAGCAAGGAAATATTGCAACTAACTTTAAAGTATGGATAAAAGTATGAACAGGTCCAAAAACTATTCAATATGTTTAAATAGAGTAAAAGACGAGTGTGATAAAAAGATATTTTGGTGTTACGACAACAACTTATATAACACATGTACATTGTTATTATAGTATTCCGTGTCAATGATACAATGCTAAGCGAAAAAACTTACACTTGTAGTTGTATAATTGTATTATTGGCACGGATTGCTACGGTGGTAGTGTACCCGTTCAATGTAAGTTCTATAATATAAGAGAGATCCCCAATCTACAAATCAAATTGCAAGGTAAAATAATTCCACCAACACTTCTGATGAATGAAGTTCTTTCCTGCTTCTGAGCACTTAAAAAACACGAATTCTATGCCACTATGGAAAACAGGGCATTTCTTGGATCCTAAGCTAGCTGATATGAGCCGGATTGGTGATCTTGGCTCAAACATTAACACTCTCCTCATCTAATTCATCCTGCAAAGCATACCCTTTTTCTTTCATCATCCCCAGCAATCCTTCCAGTGTTTCGTAGATCTCTTCGGTTCTTTCGTTTGATGTGTCCTTCACTATAAAGCTTTGTAACCCCTTACTTGTTTCAATCCAGCTACTGCCAGGAATCTTCCTCAGCCCAACTTCTTTCATTCTCTCCCTGACCTTATCAGCTTCTTCCCATCTCCCAGCCTGTGAATATAAATTAGCCATAATGATGTAGTTCCCTGTATTCTCAGGTTCGATTTGAAACAAGCGATCGCAGGCAAATTTTCCCAATTCAACATCACGAGAAACTGAAGCCCCATTTAGTAGTGCGCCCCAAACTTTAGCACTTGGTTCAACTGGCATTTTGTGGATAAAATCTGCAGCTTCGGTGAGTTTCCCAGCTCGGCTAAGAATGCCCACCATGCAGGCATAATGCTCAACTGAGGGCTGAATGCCATATTCCGGAAACATGGCATCAAAGATTTTCCAAGCCTCATCAACCACTCCAGAATGAGCACAAGCTGTTAATACCGCTGTAAATGTCACTTGATCTGGTTGAATCCCGCTATTCAGCATCTCATAAAAGAGGCCAAGAGACGTATCAGCATCTCCGTGGGATGCATAAGCTGAGATTATTGACGTCCAAATGATTAAGCTCTTACCTTTTGCTTGATCAAAAACCCTCTGTGCCCCGTAAAGAAAACCTGACTTTGCATAAGTATCGATAATAGCAGTTTCAACATAAATATTCCAGTCAAAATTGTTTCTAACAGCATAAGCATGTACTTCCTTCCCGACTTTCAGATTTGAGAAATACGATATTGTGGGAAGAATGCTTGACAATGTCACGGTATTTGGTTTGCAACCACATGCCTGCATTTCTCGAATTAAATTCAATGCCTTCTCGTGCTGGTTGTTCTGAACCAAACCTGAAATCACAGCATTCCAAGTACTTAACTTTGGCTTCTTACTATCTCGAAAAACATCCATGGCTTTGTCAACAAACCCGTGAAACATGTACCCCGAAACTAATGAGCCATAAGTGACCTCATCCTTTTCACTCATCTCATCAAATAATTCTTGAGCATAATCCAAGCTACCACATCTTGCATATAGCCCTATAAGAGCATTGCAAAGCAAAACATCCATCTCGATTTGATTCTCAATGACAAACTGATGAACCTCCATACCAAGCATAAGATCATTTGACTGTAAACATGCCTGCAACGCACTCACCACTGTCAACCCAACAGGCTTAAACTTCTCCAAGCCTAACATCATCCTATACAACTCTTTGCACTCATCATAATAACCGGCTTGAGAATACCCTGCAATCATCGAATTCCACGAAACAATATCTCTTTCCGGTATCCTGTCAAACAAAGCTCTCGCCAAACCAACCTCATCACATCTCGAGTAGTAAGTAATCAAAGAATTAACAACAAAAACATCCGAATCAAACCCACTACGCAGAACAAAACAATGTACTTCCTTAGCCAATTTTGAACCTGAAAGCAAAACCCCAAGAGCCTTCAGCACACAAGTCACAGTAAAATTGTCGGGCTTCGCTTGATCCGAACACGAAGACACCATAGCAGAAAACCACTTCAAGGTGTCGGCGTGCATATTGTTAATGGAATACCCAATGAGCATGGCGTTCCAGGAGAAAGCATTTGGGTGGGGAATTTGGTCGAACACCTTGCGGGCATAGTTGATATTATTGGTTTTGGAGTAGAAATTGATGAGCTTTGAGGCCAGGAAGTTGCCGGGCGTGACGGAGAAGAGGACGAGGCGGGCGTGGAGCTGCTTGGCCTGACGGACCAGGCGGTGCACCGTGCAGTGCTGGATGAAGTGCCCGTAAGCTCCGCAATCGAGCCCGTCGATTCCATGGAGGCTCTTAAGGGCTCGTTGGACGTAGCCGTTGGTGGTGGCCGAGATTTGAATGTTGAATGACTTTGATAACATCATTCATTTGTTTTTCTCATAAAAGCTTAAACTTGCTTGCCTTGTAGCTTTCTCGTGCCACGTTTATTTTAGCATCGTCCTTCGCTGTTTCTTCTTTACATTTTACAAGAAAAATAAAATAAAATAAAAGAAAAATAAAATCAATGGTATTTTCCTGTTCTTAGACCATCTCCACTTGTTGGGCTAAAATCCAAATGTTTTAACCCGGAAAATTAGCTTTTAGCCCAGAAATAGTTTTTCTACTCCAACCATTCTAGCATAAAATTTTAGCCTGGGATCATTAAAGAATGAACTTAGGCTATTTTTTTGTTAAATTAATTTTTTTTTTAAAAAAAATAAATATGTAGACTATCGTAAATTAATTTTATGAACATTTTAATCTAAAAAAATTTAAATTTCAATAAATATTGGGTGAAGTCCACTCCGATTTCTGGGCTAAATTTTGAAGGGAATTTGGCATTGGTTTAGCATTTAGCATTTCGTCCAAATTTTCCCCTTGGGTTGGAGTGGGTTTGGAGAAAAATTTTGGGGGGTAATTTGACATTTAGCTCACCATTGGAGTTGGTCTTAGGGAGGAAGATATACTCTTGTATTCTTGTTGTTAATTTCGTAACTTTTTCAACAATCTAAATAATTTATATTTGACTCATTATTTATAGATCATTCTTGTAAAATTTAAGAAAAATTCAAAGTCATTAAAACATCTAATTGTGATGGAGAGAATAGACGAATATAATTTTTTAAATAAATACTAAAATGAGTACTATTTAATTCAATAATTATACTGTTTTATATTCGAGTAATTTTTAATACAAATGATATTTTAAAAAAAACCTAAAAGATAAATAATTGGTTCGTCGAAATACATTGTAAAACAAACTTTCAAAAAATTCCTCAATTAAGCTTATTTGAAGAATATCTCAAATAATGTTTTTATTTCATCTTGACTTTTCTTTTTTCTTTTTTAAATTTGTATGAGAAAATAACTAGCATGTGATTAGGGGTGGGTGCGGATCGATTTGACACTTAAAATATAACTAAATTAACTAATATTAATCAATTTGATTTGGTTCGGTTTTGACCAATATAACCATTGAAACAAAACCAAACCAAACTCTTGTTAATTGGTTTGATTCAGTTTTTCTGTCGGTTTGATCTCTTCAAGATGGAAATAAAAAAGTTTAACATTTGAAGAGTTGAAATCTTTTGAACATCCACAAATCTCATGCATTTCAATTTGATTTAAAAGATAAGTTTTTTCAGAACATAAAAAGTTCATCAAATCAAATAGAACTAAGTTTCAATTAAATAAAATCTCATGCTAGCAAACGATTTGAATTACAACCTCGTATAAGCAAGGATACATATAAATCTCCTAATTGTTAGTTGCCATTACAACTTATAATATGTTGAGACTTATAACATGTGTATGTTTAGACCTCTAAATAAAAGGTTATGACACCTTGAAGTTTATCGTGTTTTCTTGAAAAAAACTTCTCAGATTTGAAAAATTACACCAACACCATTTGAAGTTTTAATTCACATTCACCTCACCTTTCTCATAACAAATTTACCTTTATAATTAATTACTTTTTTTTAACAATATAATTAATTACTTAAATAATAAAAAGCCATTATAAATAAATACAAAAACAAATCAAACTAAAAATTACATGACACAGTAAAAAACAAAAAATAGCAAAACCCTATGCATCTTCTTCTTCCCCTTCCATTTTTTCCTGACCACAAAAATTTTTTTTTTTTTTTTACCATCAATCAACTGTTGAGAATACAAAGGAATCTTGCTTATGCTTATACGGAGTTGAGTTACTTTTCATGTTGCCAGTTAAAGTTCCACCACAAAATCAAAGAAAAATGAGGAATATACAAAGGAATCTTGCTTATGCTTATAAGGAGTTGACATAAAAATGTGGCTTGTAACTTAGGTACGTCTTCAAGCTTTTGCTTGTACTTTGTATGTTGTTTATTTAATTCGAATGGTTTGAGCGTGAGATGTTGGTTCCTCCAGCTTCTCCATCCTTGGTGCAATTAGGGTTTTAGAATTGATAAAAAAAAAAAAAAAACTTGTTTTTCTTTATAAGAGTTATTAGGATTTTATTCGGAATGAACGTAGCATAAACAGGGAGTGATAGTAATGTTTAATTATAGTGTGTCGATTTATTAATAAATTTTAGTTTTAGGGAGATGATATACCTACCCACCAACACTATTTCTCCACCCACTTTTTAATGATACTTTTAATGACAACTCTAACCTTTTGCAAAATGACTTATAAGGCCATCTTTAACTATTTTATTCTTTTATTTTTGTATTAAATTCTGAAAAATAGAAGGAACATGAGCCCAGCAAGTTGAAACCATCGCACACAGCACCAACCAAGTTGAATCCACCGTTTTCCTCATCTCATATGTCAATTCCTTCCCATCCATTCGAAATCTTCATCAAACACCATAGACCCATTACAATTACCTTAAGAAACCTTACTCCTTTTCTTTTTTTCTCATACCCATTTATAGTTTCGGCAATTTGTGTGGAACTGTGCTCAGTTCATCTAATTGAGGTGGTTTTAATACCCATCTTCTACAATTAGTCCTCTACTTGAGTTGTAATTGTAGAGAGCGACTACGAGGTCGATTGAGGATGTTGCTCATCCTCATAGTCTTGATTAAATTAGAGACAGAGTTGGCTGACGGTGAGAAGGGGGTTGCTTGCCATCGAGTGGGTGGATGTGTGGCAGTTGCTAATTTTCTTTGTAAGGGATAGTTTAGGAATATCAGTGGGTGGGAAAAGAGTGTTTTTTATTTTTACCTTTTGAGTGGGGTGGGAAAATAGGATTGTGGGGTGGGTCTAGTAGCTCTTTAGTTTTATTATTAATTTCATCTCGTACTTGATGATAATTATACAAGAGAATAAAAAAATAATTAATATTTAAAATTTAATTTGGATGTAGAAATATGTTAGATGAGTTTAAATAAAATTTCTCTTAAACATTTTCAGATTGTTATTTGTAATATCGATTGAACCGAAACGAGAACCTCTGTTGTCTAAGATTGCATCTGTTCTTGGTAGCCCCCATTATTCTGCCATCACGCTCTGCATTGTCAAATCTTCCCTCTTAAGTCCTAACCCGTTCAATTGTTAGACCATTTTGACAACCATGGTTTGGAATTGGGTTACTTAAAAGAAAAATAGCAGAAGGATCATGATTTTCCTAAGATTTTACAGAAAATCATGGTCGAGTGTCAATTCAATTTGACAACCATATTTTAATTAGCACACTATTCCCGGAAAACAGATTGACACAAGGAAGAGAATCGGTTATGAACCATCTCGGCTCCCTAAAACCCATTCTAAAGTGAGAGAGAGATGACAAACTCTTTTTAAATTTTTGTGATATGAATTTTCCTCGATCTAAGCATGGAGATTGCATGATTATCTCAAAGTGGAAATGAATGGGTTTGGCTCTTCGGCGTTTGACGTAGCCATCGCTTGGTTCAATTGTGAAATGGAGATGAAAGTTCAAGAGACGAACACTAGAAGTGGGGAGGGAGGAGACTTTTCACCCGAGGGTAATTAAGTCTTTTTAATTTTAATATTTGTTAATTTTATAGAAATCGAAAAAGAAAAAACTATATTTCATTAAGTGGTTCTTAAAATGAAGATATTTCAAAATTTCTCATTCAAGTTGGGAATGTTATTTGAGAAATTTTATTATGGAGATGGTCATTCTTACATTTTTTTAAGGAAATTTTAACGAAAAACTTATGGTACTTTAACGAAAAATTACATTTTTACACAAAAAAGTTAATCATGATACTATTCATTTTACCCTTTATTTTGTCCTTATTGTTAAAACTCAAAAGTTTTTAAATCTTTTTCATTAGTTTTTCTTTTTTTTTATTGACTTTTTTTTTTTTTTTTTCACATGAGTGAGTGGTAAGTGAAAAAAGAAAAGAATAAAAAACATCCGCCTCGTAAATTACGTTCCTAGCCCTAACTATAAAATAAGGAAAAATATTCAATCAGGTTCACCTGAGAGAAGACACTACAGTTTAAGGGCAGAGCGAAGGAAAATTACAGTGGCGGTCGGAACTGGATCTCTACGTCTTCGCTCTTCTTTTCCGAAATTGATTAGGGGTAAGCTCCTTCAACCAAAACCCACTTTTCTAAAATGTGTAATTCTTGCAAATATGGCATCCTTTAATCGAACCCGTGGTTATTGTACTAATCTGATTGAAATTTTATGATATTTATTTGATATTTATTCGAATTTTATGATATTTATTCGAGCGTAATGGAAAATGCATTTGTTCAGAGCTCTTTAATTGATTGTAATTTTTTTTTTTTTGTTTGTTTGGAATAATTGGGTAGTGAGAGATTTCATGGGTTTTGATGCATTTTTGTATGTTTGGTAATTTTTGATAAATTGTTTTGGATGTAGAGAGTTGCGGCCTAAATCTTCATATTTGCAGTGTTATGGTTTCACCAAAATATTGGTATCTCAGATTTTACCAGGGTTTAATGCTGACTTACTCTTATCCTAACTTTACATTTCGGTTTTCGGTTTTCATTTTTTGTGTTAGTGATAGAGGGGAAATACATGGGACATGAAGGGTGAAGGATGGCAGGAGAGGTATCGAAGAAATATACAAGGAAAGGCGTGCGAAATGAAAACTAAAAACTAAAAAACCAAAAGCTATTTTAAGTTTATTTTCACTTTCAAGATTTTGTTTTCGTTCGTTCCTTCTTATTTTGCTTTGTGGATGTCTGAGGAAATTCTCAGTGAGAAATTTGTCAATATATTGCCTTGTGGAGGTTTCAATCTGCATTTGCAAGGAGTCTAGTATTTGTTAGTGTTGACGCTTCTATATGTCCAAACTGAAGCCCGACTAGTTTATTTGGCCAGTCTTACACCGTGTTTCCCTTTCATACTATTCGTAATTGTTGGTAACTTCCTTTCTATGCTTTCCTGTTCTGTTCTCGGGATGACGTGTTTGGTCCAATACTTCATGTGTTAATATCTCCTGCATTGCAACTTCTGAAAATGATACTCATTTTACGGTGAGATAAGGATGTCTTAATTGTTTATGATTGCAGTATTTTTGCATTTATGAGAAGGAGCTCTGGAAATGGAAAGTCCCAGCAACGATCAGAAAGTAGAGCCTTCGTCCGCAGTGGTTTATGAGTTACCAGGGGAGCCTGCTATTGTCATTGATGGAGTGCCCGAAATTCCATCAACTGAAAGCACTCGTTCTGTCTCTGATGCTGCTCATGATGCAGAATTCCGTGGAAATACTGACTTTGGTGAGTGGTTGGAAGGAAGAGAAGTGAGGAAGTTGTTTGGAGAGCAAAACTATTTTGGCACAGTGACTGAGTATGATAAAGAAGCAGGCTGGTACAGGGTGGTGTATGAAGATGGTGACTTTGAAGATCTCGACTGGACTGAGTTAGAACAAGTGCTACTGCCCCTAGACATTATGGTTCCCCTGAAAACAGTAGCCCTAAAAACTCTCAGGAAAAGCAAGAAATTCCTCCGTAAACCTCGGAACGTTATCGCTGGATCTCAAACACAAAAGGCCAAAACCAAGGGAAGTAGGGGAAGGAAGGCCACCTCAGCAATTGAAGGTGCTTCAAAGATTGACTTCAAAGTAGGTGAAGATGCTTCAATGGTGGACTCCAAAGTACTTGAAGATGCTTCGATGGTGGACTCCAAAGTAGCTGAAGCTGCTTTAATGACAGACTCCAAAGCACCTGAATATGCTTTAATGACGGACTCCAAGGCAATTGAAGACGCTTCCATGATGAAGTCCGATGGTTTGTAAAGGTTTCACAAAAGGAAGTTCAAAGGTCGATGAGGTTAGATTCTGATGGACATGAAACAGCTTGATATAGAGGATGTAGGTTTTGAAAATCGGTATTTCTAGAAGTTTGAAACAAACATTTTTAGACTTGAAAAGAGGATACTACTGACTTGTAAGGTGAACTGTGAGACGTACGTGAAATATTAGTCAGTGATAGTGTTGTACTGCTTAGGCTAATTGTATGTGTTGTATGCCAACAAGACTACATACTTAATGGATTTTGTGTTGGGATGTTCCGGATTTAAAAACGAAACCCTTTTTTTTGTTTTTTTCAGGGGCAGGATTTTCGAACTGGGACCCGCTCTTAATATTGGGAGGAGAAATACCAGGAGACTAAAAGCTAGTTGGTAAAACAACAAAGCCTTATTCTAGAATTAAGACTCTCCCCACGTACTTTTGGGGCCTTTAGAATTGCCTTTAAAATAAGTACTTTTGCTCATAAGTGTTTTTTTAATAGTAATTTTAATAGAACAAGTTGAATTTTAGGAAACCTTGGAAGGGCTTAGGAATGATGATTCTAATCATTAAACTCGATAATCGTGGATAATTGTCCGAATGGATTGAATTTGGATATGAAAATTTGAGTATATTTTAGATATGGAGAAAAACCGTGAATAGTTTTCGGTTATGGTTGGATATGGTTATAGGGTCTTCAATTTGTATCTTTTATCGAATCCGAATACAAACTGAATAATATATAATATAATTATATTAATATTATATAATAGACAAATTTTTTTACTTGGTATTAAGTTTTCTTGGAAAAGGATCTTCTCGGATTCTTTTTGTGGGGATCTGAGGGATCAATCAATCAATTCGTTCATCGTATATCGTGCGGTCAGAAATCATTTTAAATTTAAAAATTTAAAAATAAATATAAATAGTATCTAACGAAAATCAACGATGAACGGACGTGATTGATTGATCCTCAAGATCCCCAAAGAGGATCTGAGAGGATCATTTTCCAGTTTTCTTGGCAATTAACACAGGCCCTGCAATTTTTGTTTTCCTTTTTTCTTAGCAATCAAATTGTCACACTACATATTTCTAGCAAAGCTCATGGTGTTTGCTCACACGAATGAATGGAGTTCTCCTTCAAGCCTGTGTCAGTTTCAGGAAGAAACTTTCTCAGTCCGTTCTGCAAATACATTCATCTCACTCCAAGCCCTTCTTCTCTTCTCCCAAACTCACACGAACAACCCAAAAAACCAAGAAGCTACAAAACGCTCTCAGAGTTATCGACCTCATCACCCCAAAACCATCCCCCGCCGCGCGCCGCCGCCAAGGCCATCTCCGGCTCATTCAGGACTTTCTGCAGTCAGATTCCGACCACTTTACCTTCGGTTCTGCTTCCTCTGATCCAACAAACCCACGAGTAAAAATCTCAACTTTGTTCGATGAAAGCGTTTTGTCACACGCCATAAGCTCATGTGGGTCTTCTCGAAATCTTCATGGCGGGGTTCAGTACCACTGTGCAGCAATGAGAATTGGGTTTATTTCCAATGTTTATATTGGAAGCTCTTTGGTGAGTTTCTACGGGAGATGCGGTGAGCTGCAGAGTGCATATAAGTTGTTCGACGAAATGCCTGTGAGAAATGTCGTGTCTTGGACTGCCATTATTTCCGGGTTTGCGCAAACGTGGCAGGTTGATGTGTGCTTGCAGCTTTTCAGTGAAATGAGAAACTTTTTGGAACCGAATGATTTTACGTATGCAAGTATTCTGAGTGCTTGTACTGGCAGTGGAGCTCTTGGGCATGGAAGAAGTGCTCATTGTCAAACCATCCGAACGGGCTTTGATTCGTACATTCACATTGCTAATGCTCTTATCTCAATGTATTGCAAGTGTGGGGATGTTAAAGATGCGCTTTACATATTTGAAAATTTGGATGGCAGAGATAATGTATCTTGGAACTCCATGATTGCCGGGTATGCGCAGCACGGCCTTGCATTGCAGGCCGTCGATCTTTTTGAAGAAATGAAGCGGCAACGTGTGAAACCTGATGCCATTACTTTATTGGGCGTGCTCTCTTCGTGTCGTCATGCAGGTCTTGTCAAAGAAGGCCGGCTTTACTTCAATTCAATGATCAAAGAGCATGGTATTCATCCAGAACTAGATCATTATTCGTGTGTTGTTGACCTTCTTGGCCGGGCTGGTCTATTAGAAGAGGCTCGAGAATTCATTGAAAAAATGCCTATTCGTGCCAACGCAATTATATGGGGGTCGCTGCTTTCTTCCTGTAGGGTTCATGGGAGTGTGTGGATTGGCATTGAGGCTGCAGAGAGTAGGCTATTACTAGAGCCAGAGTGTGCTTCAACCCACGTGCAATTGGCAAACCTGTATGCTAGTGTGGGATGTTGGGATGGGGCAGCAAGAATGCGTAAGTTGATGAAAGATAAAGCAATTAAGACAAGTCCTGGGTTCAGCTGGATTGAGATTGGTAACGAGGTTCACAAATTTAGAGCAGAAGACTGTTCAAATCCCAAAATGATTGAAAGTATTGATCTCTTGGATAGTTTGGCAGACCACATTAAAACTTTAGCCTATGAGCCTGAAATGGAAGAGGAAGATTAAGCATGATTTATTTTGCTATCAAAGCGGCTAGCAAATAGCAATCGATATAAAATCTACTTTAAAGATTGATTTGTTCTGCTCGAAGATTCGTTCAGAGGTCCTTCTTTCATACAGGTTTTGAATATTAGGATCGATGTGAGGCTTCATAATGTCTTTGGTGTAAATAAATAGCGAGCTAATAACTTATTGTTCTAAATTTGTAGACACCACCTCGCGTTGCTCTGACGAGAGATGCTGTACGTACTTGTAGGTAATTGTATTCTTCCCCATTTTACTCTAAATAGCATTCTGAACTAGAATAGGTTTGATTTCTAACTCAGGAGAAAGTTTACCTTTAGTTTATAGCTTCGTTTGATTCTTTAATTTTACAACTGATTAGTGATTACTTTGGTTTGACAAATTTTTCTCAATGAGCTAATTTATACCTATGTTGCACTTCACCTGGTCATAACAATTCTAAGAGGCACCATCCATACCAAATGTCTCCTAGACAAGCTAAGATGGTTGCGCAATTTAGTCTTCAAGCTCGGTGTTTCTCTTTCTAGGTTAATCAATGGTATTTCTGATGATTCATATGGTATAATGTGTTATGTTTCGACCGAAAAAAGAAGAAGAGTATAATGTGTTATGTATTGACATGGGTTGACATGTGTAGCTCTTTTTCCTTCTTTCCATTGCATGAGGCACGGTATAAATTATGAAATCCTCTCTTACCTTCAACAAATTATTTCCCTACGCTTATGCTTCAATGGACACGGCCTGAACCATACAATACAAAAAGGCATGAACATTATAGAGAGCGCGAGTAATGCGAGTAAATCAATGGCACCATCCTGGGAGTGCCTATGCGGAATTTTCAGACAACATAATTCCTTCTCTTGATTGTTGCCAAGCATAATTCCTTCTCTTGATTGTTGAGGCTGCCGCGTTCAATCTCCCTTAGGGATCGCTCAAGTTCCTCGTAAATGTTCACGGGTGCGGATTGGGATGAAGTAGCAGCCACACCAGTTCCTAGCCCTAGCAGAATAATGAATAGCATACAAGGTGAATTCATTGGTACGTAGGTTGGTTTGGTTCGGTTTCTATCGGTTTTGGCTTGCTCAAGTGACCACATTATTGGTTGTTTGATTTAAAGAGAGAGAGACTGAGAGGATGGCGGTCAGAGTCTGTTTGTTTTGATTTATATACACAAAAGGAGGAGGAATTTGAGAAGCATGAAATCCTCATGGTATTAGTAAAAAGACGAAGAAAATTAAACAAAAGAAATCCTAATAGAAAAAGGACATGCATTGAACAAAAGAAATCCTAACAATCCTCCTAGTATCCCTCACTACAAGAACAATGAGTATTAGGGGCGGATATGTGGATTTGTCCCCATTAATTTTCATTGGAGGTGGAAATACAGATTTGTCTCTATGAAAAGTTACAGACGGAACGAAAAGTGTGCCCCTATTAATTTTATTACTTTTAGTGCAGAAAAAATTGCCTTTAACAATTTTAGCCAGAAGAAAATAAAAATATTAATCCAAACCCTAATTGTTTTCTAAAGTTAGCAGATAATTGTGGATTTCTAAGTGAAAAAAAATCACTCAAGTATTTGGCAAGAAAAGTGTGAGATGTTAATGTATGAATTGAATGGTAGGCCCTGCAGGTATTGAAAATACGTATGTGTCCATCGAGAGCTGAGGGCATGTTAAGTAACAAATTCTGATTACGTTTCACAATAAAATTTATAATTGCTTCCTGGTTATAGAAGCATTTTCTGAAAATGCACATGGTAGGTGCTTCTTCAAAAAACCTTTTCAAGTACTTACAAAAGCACTGAAATTTTAATATAAATAAATAACAGTTGAATATGTTTCTCAAAAAATTACTTTTAGCAAAGCTCTTGTGAGCATAAGTATTTTTTACATAAGCAATACTAAAAAGAAGAATTTAAAAAGTAACTAGGACACCGCCGCGAACATCACTAATCAGTAACACAATGCAATGTTGAAAAATATTTACACATAACACTATATTATTGGCAACAAACACCACAATAGCGGACCTAAAGGTGAATATGCAACTTGTAAGTAGACCAGACATTCGTGTCGTGTTTTCCGTGTTCCTGTTGTTTTCAGTGACATACCTGATATCTTAACGGGTCGTGTCGTGTAACACCTGTTAAAGTAAATGAGTAATATGACCCCCGAAATCGACCCGTTAATATTACCAAGTAGTATGACCCAACCCGTTATCCGTTAAAGAAAATATATTTTAAATTAATAAATAATGAAAATGTGAAACATAATTTGACCCCAAAAAAAAGAAGGAAATTACATAATGCTAAATTAGTATATGCATAGCACATTGTCACATAAAGTAAAAAATATTTGTCTTTCAAGTATTACATACTCCAAAATAAGAGCTAATGAAAAAACATTAGTACATTACTATAAAATACCAAATGTAAGGATATGCAAAATGAAGGAAGTTGTGTTTCAAGGTTGAGGAAACTTGCACGTTATATGCTTTCACATTTTTCAGATTTGAACATTAATGTTTACGAATTTTATTTATTTTGAATTCCTTAAAAATACTATTCATGAGGGTTTATATGGTTTTAAAATTCAAACGATGATGTACCCATACTCAAAGCGTAGACGATGCAATCACAAGCCTTTACATATTTTTTCACACTTGTAAATAATTATTATAATTTTTTAATGTGTTTGGTATTGTTAAATTACTTGATATTTTTATTTTTAATGTGTTTTATAATTTTTTAATCTCACTCTTTGCCTATAGTATACTACGAAAAGAAATAAATAAATAAACCTTAAATTTTATAAATTCATATATAATAATAATACAATAATACATATTTAAAAAATATACAATAAATACATATACATTATGGCTATTGTATTCAAGATTCTAAAAGACGCTAGGTGCTAGTCGGGCATGAACTGGGGCCTAGCGCCTAGGCGGCTAGGCGGAGGCATATAATTGCCTATTTATAATATATAAATAAGTGCCTATTTATACTTAAAAGACACATAATTGCATATACAAATTGTAAAATAAAATAACATATAGATTATAAAGTGCTAGAACATATTGAAAACATGGGAAACAAGCATATAATGAGTGTTCGTTCAAATATTCAACAAGTCTTTTACATTTTATTGAAAAAAAAATAGAATGTAGACGCCTAGGTGGGTTAGGCGAATATCTAAGCAGCTCTAGGTGCACTTTCTTAATTTTTAGAACAGTGATTGTATTTTATAGTAAGTTTTTTTAGTAGTTTAAAAAATTAAAATCATCGAAATAACTTTTTTCTTAACGTGTCGAAACGGTTACCCGCGTGTCACCACATGTTAAGGACCCGTTATTAACGAGTTCTCATCGTGTGACCCGATAACGACCTGATTAGTTATCATGTCGATCCGAAACCCGTTATTTTGTGTCGTGTAAGAAATTGCCAGGTTTACTTGTAAGGCCCCAATTGGTATTGCATTTTTTTGTCTTCACCAAAAACTAAAAATTAGGCAATAAAAAGGTCATTCCTAGTTCCCGCCAAAAGGCCTGGAATTTGGTCTTCCAAGTCTTTGCTATTTGTGGCCCTCACATTTACTAGCTAGCTATATCGTAATGCTTCCAGTTCTACTTTTCCCTGTACTTTTCTTTTGGGTAATTCGAACAAGGACAAACCTGAGGCTCAACGAACACGTAAATATTAGTTTAATCTTGAATAATTAGAAAACCATTTGAACCGTTCAAGCACGTAAATCTTATTTAAGTTTTCACCATGCAATTAGTCACTTTAACGAACTGCTTTAGTAACTTCACTAGTTGTCATCTGCATGTATAGTTATTCACTTGTTTCGTATCGAAGTAAGATCAAAAGGTCAAAAGACCTTAATTTCGTATTTGTAATTATAAGGCTTTAAGAAACAACAACGCGTGGTCCGGTTTTAGGTTGTGAAGCCTTAGCCGGTTCCAACATCCAGAATGAGGTCACTTTGTATATGTGCTTCAAAACTACCAATTTGGATAGAAGGCACAAAACTGGACCTACACCAAGCCCAAGAAGATCGAGCACAAGCACAAGATGGTGAAACCTTGCATTCCTCGAGAAGGCAACTGGTCCCAACGGAAGCTGAAAGGCTAAGGTACGAAGGCGTTGATGTCGAAAAAAGCGGCCGGAATTGAATAAGCCGGTCGTCTTGATGAATATGGTTGTATGCGTCAAGCCCTTAATTACGCCACTAGTACCCAGCCGATTCTTAGAGTTAATGAAAAAGGTTTCCAGCTGGTGGATTCGTGAAATCCATACAGTCAGAGTGGAAGGCCAAGCATTATTAAAATTGGGAGTTGTATGGCTTGCCCAAACAGTCTTCTTGAAAGACGAATCATGAAGATATGAATCAGGTTAGAAGTAACCAGTTTAGGATGGTTAAAGTTGTTGATTTCTCATAAAATAAAGGTGGGGAGTTTGTTAAGCAAAGACAAGATATGAGATAGAAGGAAAGCCTTAGGGTTTTATAGATGAGCTGGTATAGAGCTTAAGACCATCTCCAAAGGAGATGTCAAATTTTAAACATCAAAATGATAGTTGATAGTTTATGTGGCAATTTGACATTTTGTACAATATTTTGTTCCACCCGATATGTCAGATAATAATGTCATTTAATATTTTTTATCTTTTTGTGGAGTCTAATGATTAAAGCAACCAATCAAATATTTCAAAAATATAACAACATTTATTATATATTATGTTAATTTATTAAAATATCATTTAATAAATTTGACATTTGTTGTCAAATTTGACAGCAAAAGGCTTTGCCTTTAAATGACTCAGCGCCACCTAAGAAACTGAAAGCTCGTTTGGACAGAGTTTGCTGCCATTTTTGACATCTCATTTGGAGATGCTCTAAGGGGGTCTCTATCTAAGAGAATCGAGGAATAACTTCAGGGTATGCTTTGTATTTTTTGGCGGCTCCTTTGTCTAAAAAATTGGGCACGTGAGTAGCCGAGTAGGAGTTTGACGCGTGGCAGAAGAAAGGAAAAGTGTGTCAGGTAGAGGCAAAGTTGGT